GTTGTTGTGATGAATCTACAAGTGGTCTTGATCTTTTTTGGTAACATTAGTATTTGTATTATCTTATAAATAATCTTGTTTTCCATTTCTATTTTTGTTTGTGTGAAATCTTATTTAAAAGCCCTTCAAATTCCCTTCATGTCTGAAAATGTTAGTTGTGTTATTTAGGAGTCGTAACCTCCAAGAATTTTACAATAGGGATAAAAAAAAGTGATCTCTTCGCGTAAACAAGTCATTTTAAGAAGTTAAGACATTTCAATACTACATTATTAATTCTGATTGGTTAGCTGGCTGCCTCTGTTGTGATTGGTCAACCAGCTTAGAGATGTCCCGCCCCCTTTACCCTGTCACGTACAATGTGTTGGAGCCAAATAGGAGCACGAGTGTTCCATTGTGATGTCATTATGTTCCGGAAGGAGTCCAATGGAGGCGTATCAGTGGAACACAGAGATGTTAGCCTCTGCAGACCGTTGACATGCACTAAAACCAACAGAACACACTACAGGAGAGCAGAGTGGGGCCTCTTTAAAAATGTAAGTCTGAATTTCAGTGACTAAAAGTATAATAATGAATCTATCTTACGGAACTGCTTACTTATCGTAAAGAACAGATGAAACATGTTCAATAAATCCAACGCTGAAACAATTAGTCTCTTATTGATTTGTAGAGTTTGCTAGAAAATGTAATCCTTATTGATTTTGATCATTGATTTCTTAAGACAATAATAAGCTCACGGTGTGTTTTCAGTTTTAAAATGTGAGGATTTATTCAGTTATTTCACTGAAAGTCTAATAAATGTGTGACTGGATGCAAGAAAACGAGCATTTTAAAGACGTCACGTTGAGTCTCGTTCTTTGTGATTTGAAATATTTGAAATATGGCTTTTCCTATCACGATATCCACGAGAAAGGAGATGTGCAGTATTTTCTGATGCAGACACTTTATGACGTGTTATATAACAGAAATAGCGGCGCTAGTTTTCCATTTATATCCGTTCATTTAGTTGATTTAAAGCAGTGAAGCGTTAACGCAAACAAGTGGCGTGTCACACGTGTTGATAGTCAATCCAACAGGTGCATCGTTGCTTCTTCCACAAACTACCAGGACACCTTTCTGTATAAACATGTCCTTCTAACAGTCGCATCTCTCATGATGAAAACACAATGTTCACTGTGACATAGCGAGCTAACGAGTCGACACAAACACAAAACCCACCCGCAGATATGACTCCGATTTAGCGAGCACGGATCTAATTCTGAATTTCACCCTAATCAAAAAAGATGTAATTAATTAATCAGATAATTCAGTGCCACGCATGGCAGGACGAACATCTGTGCAGCGGTGATGAGGAGGAAGGGAGGCAGCAGTACCTCCTGATGCACAATCATCTGCACTCCACTTATATATATATATATATGTATATACACAGTATATACATTTACAGTACATATCCTGCACACTGAATTTAAGCTTCGTCCCAAAATGACGAGCTAAGCATTTTAAAAACAGCTTTGTTGCAGCAGCGCCACACAGATGCTATGAAGCAGTGCTGGATTATTAACTCTCTGGATCGCTCGTGTCAGTACCGGTGATGTTTAAGTGTTTTTAGATGTGATGGAGATTAATGTGTGATTGTTGTTTTATTGATTGATTTTAATGTGACTTGAACTGTATTTATTTGTTATTCTTTTGTCTTCACTATCTCTGTAAAAGCGCTTACAAAATACATCTATTATTATTATTATTATTATTATTATTATTATTATTATTATAATATCTGTCTTGATAGACCCCTTGTCTTTCAAAGATCTAACCAAATTAGATTTATTTTAATTTTAATTAGATTAAAACTAAATTGGGATTTAATTATTATATTTAATTTGTATTAAAATCATTTTTTTTTAAATTTAGATTAAACATTTTTATTTATATATATTTATTTATAATTTGTTCAGATTTTTACTCCAGAGATCTGAGCATCAAACTTTTACTTTTGGTTTAAGTATGTTTTGATTCTACTACTTATATATTGATCTTGTGTTTTATGTCGTGTCAAATGATCATATAATCATTTCAAACATATAGTCTAAAATCAAATCATTTATCAGTTTCTGTTCAGAATTTCCTCCACAAAATAAAAAGGTGATTTTAAACATCTGAGTCGAGGTTGAAGCCCGATGCCTCTTCCTGAACATGTGTTATCTGTGAACCATTAAACCATCGAGTCCTACACTGTGGCACTTCTACTTTTACTTTAAAATAAGATAATCCTTATTAATCTGTATTAGTCCCTGTGAGGAAACTCAGTGGTTTAACAGCAACAGGAATGAAGAACAGCACAGATTCACACGATGACAGATGATCAATAACTATAAAATAAGAAATGAATTAAAATGTACATATTGGGTCAAAGTACTTCTATATCTGAGTACTTCTACTTTAACTACTTTTATCTGAGTACTTCTACTTTAACTACTTCTATCTGAGTACTTCTACTTTAACTACTTCTATCTGAGTACTTCTACTTTAACTACTTTTATCTGAGTACTTCTACTTTAACTACTTCTATCTGAGTACTTCTACTTTAACTACTTCTATCTGAGTACTTTTACTTTAAGAACTTCTATATCTGAGTACTTCTACTTTAACTACTTTTATCTGAGTACTTCTACTTTAACTACTTCTATCTGAGTACTTCTACTTTAACTACTTCTATCTGAGTACTTCTACTTTAACTACTTTTATCTGAGTACTTCTACTTTAACTATTTCTATCTGAGTACTTCTACTTTAACTACTTCTATCTGAGTACTTCTACTTTAACTACTTCTATCTGAGTACTTCTACTTTAACTATTTCTATCTGAGTACTTCTACTTTAACTACTTCTATCTGAGTACTTCTACTTTAACTACTTCTATCTGAGTACTTCTACTTTAACTACTTTTATCTGAGTACTTCTACTTTAACTACTTCTATCTGAGTACTTCTACTTTAACTACTTCTATCTGAGTACTTCTACTTTAACTACTTCTATCTGAGTACTTCTACTTTAACTACTTCTATCTGAGTACTTTTACTTTAAGAACTTCTATATCTGAGTACTTCTACTTTAACTACTTTTATCTGAGTACTTCTACTTTAACTACTTCTATCTGAGTACTTCTACTTTAACTACTTCTATCTGAGTACTTCTACTTTAACTACTTTTATCTGAGTACTTCTACTTTAACTATTTCTATCTGAGTACTTCTACTTTAACTACTTCTATCTGAGTACTTCTACTTTAACTACTTCTATCTGAGTACTTCTACTTTAACTATTTCTATCTGAGTACTTCTACTTTAACTACTTCTATCTGAGTACTTCTACTTTAACTACTTCTATCTGAGTACTTATACTTTAACTACTTCTATCTGAGTACTTCTACTTTAACTACTTCTATCTGAGTACTTCTACTTTAACTACTTCTATCTGAGTACTTCTACTTTAACTACTTCTATCTGAGTACTTCTACTTTAACTATACTTCTATCTGAGTACTTCTACTTTAACTACTTCTATCTGAGTACTTCTACTTTAACTATACTTCTATCTGAGTACTTCTACTTTAACTACTTCTATCTGAGTACTTCTACTTTAACTACTTCTATCTGAGTACTTCTACTTTAACTATTTCTATCTGAGTACTTCTACTTTAACTACTTCTATCTGAGTACTTCTACTTTAACTACTTCTATCTGAGTACTTCTACTTTAACTACTTCTATCTGAGTACTTCTACTTTAACTACTTCTATCTGAGTACTTCTACTTTAACTACTTCTATCTGAGTACTTCTACTTTAACTACGTCTATCTGAGTACTTCTACTTTAACTACGTCTATCTGAGTACTTCTACTTTAACTACTTCTATCTGAGTACTTCTACTTTAACTATTTCTATCTGAGTACTTCTACTTTAACTACTTCTATCTGAGTACTTCTACATTTACTTTAAGAACTTCTATATCTGAGTACTTCTACTTTAACTACTTCTATCTGAGTACTTCTACTTTAACTACTTCTATCTGAGTACTTCTACTTTAACTACGTCTATCTGAGTACTTCTACTTTAACTACTTCTATCTGAGTACTTCTACTTTAACTACTTCTATCTGAGTACTTCTACTTTAACTATACTTCTATCTGAGTACTTCTACTTTAACTACTTCTATCTGAGTACTTCTACTTTAACTACTTCTATCTGAGTACTTCTACTTTAACTACTTCTATCTGAGTACTTCTACTTTAACTATACTTCTATCTGAGTACTTCTACTTTAACTACTTCTATCTGAGTACTTCTACTTTAACTACGTCTATCTGAGTACTTCTACTTTAACTACTTCTATCTGAGTACTTCTACTTTAACTACTTCTATCTGAGTACTTCTACTTTAACTACTTCTATCTGAGTACTTCTACGTTAACTACGTCTATCTGAGTACTTCTACTTTTACCTAAGTACTTGTATCTGAGTACTTCTACTTGTATCTGAGTACTTCTACTTGTATCTGAGTACTTGTACTTGTATCTGAGTACTTGTGGAGGAAACACGGTGAGATGAGGGAGAAAACATGAACTGTGCCACTTCATCTGAAAACAATGGGGGCCAGGACACTGAATGTGCTCTCATCCACATCTCCATTGTCCTCCTCCTCGTCCTCCTCCTCCTCGTCCTCCTCCTCCTCCTCCTCGTGGAGCATGAGAGGGGAGGGAAGGGGAGGAGAAGGGGGGCATGGGGGGGTCTGGCTGTGTTCTCTCTGCTCTGTCTGAATGCACAGACGGTTCAGTAGTAATTTGATGTGTGTCCCCGGGGACGTCTGATGGATTAAAGCTAAGCAGCTCCATTTCGCAGACCACCTGATCTCCCGTATAAAGCCTGGCGTGATTGCTGATCTCAGCTAGTCTGACAGAGTCTCTCCCCTCTCTCTCTCTCTCTCTCTCTCTCTCTCTCTCTCTCGCTCTCTGTGTCTCTCCCTCTCTCCCTGAAGCTGCTGCATCACAGGAGCTATCCAGTGCTGAACAGGAACGCCGCTATTTTTTATTTTTTTATTTTTCCGGGGGGAAGCTGGGGGAGGCAGAGAGTCTCGCACAGCGTCGCCGTCAGCCTCTGGTTTCCATTTTCTTTCTAAATCTCATGTTTTTTGGGGTCTCCACATTGAGGATTATATCCGCCGCCCGGCCGTGTGCTCCTTCCTTCCAACGGGTCTTTTTTTTTTCCTTTTCTACTCTCATGCGTTTTTCTCGGCTCTGTGTTTTTTTTACCCATTGAA